GCGGCACCGGTTACTGTACCGATCCGCGGCGGCACCGGTTACTGTACCGATCCGCGGCGGCACCGGTTACTGTACTGATCCGCGGCGGCACCGACAGCTCTTGCGAGGCGCCCAGCGGCTGCCTCGCCGTTTCGCTCCCCTCCCCGCCACTCTTCGCTACGCACGCCGGGACCCACTGAGGCGGATCTGCTGCTACCCGTGCATTGACTCCCTTCTTAACAGCCTCGTCCGCAGGGGTGAGCCGCACTATCGGCTCGGGCACACCCCGGTTTCAGCCCCTGTGCTTGCAGCCGGGGACCCTAAAAGCCAGCCCTATGGACGTTTACCGGGCTTCCCCCCAAAAAGGACAGCGCCCGAGCATGCAGTCGGCACCCCTCAGAGCCAGCCCCTTGGCACGGGAACCGCGGTCCGTCCCCGGACCCGCGTATGGAGCTCAAGACCCGCAAATTCACCAGCTGGGGATCCCTCTCAGAGCCAGTTCCTCTGTCCATGCAGCTGGGGGACCCTGCAGCACCCGGAGCCCAAGGATTCCCCCATGCTGTCCCCGTACACCGGGGACCACCTCCCTAACCGTGGTGCCCGGTCTCCGGTCTCTAGCTTGGGACAGGGCACTTCCCTACACCTCAGTGCGTGGAAACCTGGGGCTCCCTGCCCCAGTGCACAAAACTGGGAACCTGCTGGGATCCCAGAATTGCCCAGTTGCCCGCAGCCTCTTGGGCCAGTTCCTGCTGGAGCTCCTGGGGCCCTTGCTGGCTTTTGTGGGGCATCTATCCTTCCCCAGTGAGGCATGGAAACCGTGTGTTACAGGTGTCACCACACCTGCACTATGCTGTGCCAGTCCCATGCACCATTGGTGCATCATTTGTGCACACCCATCCAGCACAGCCTGACTGGGCAACACCTTCCACTCAACTGCAGGATCACTTTGCCTTATTTCGTGACATTTTGGAGTGTCATGCATGCTCTTGCAGGACAAAGTGTGCATCCCTTCTCCTCTTACACTAGTGCTGCCAGTCCCGCTTCCAGTTGCTGTCCTCCACGCAGGTTTTCAGATTGGAGGAGACATGCGGGTGCTTGCCTCCATTCCTGGCAGTGTCCCCCATCCTCTCTGTGCAGGAAACAAGTGCCAGACAGCTGTGGGAACCCTTCTCCCCAGATGTGCAACCCCTGTGGCATGGCTCTGTGGTGTGTGAGTCCTAGGGCACCTCTTGGGCTCTGGGCTGGTGAACCAGTCATGGCTTTTCCCACCACCTCCTGATACAAGTGATGGATGGGTGAAATAAAGAGTGGAATGAGGGCAGACTTTGGGCACAAAGATGCACCATCTGCTCACCACCCCTGCCTACCTTTCCAAGGATGTTGGCATGGGAGACTGTCCTCTCCATTGAGAAGGTGCATGGAGATGGGGAGCTGGGCATGGCCTCATTTCAACGTGTGATTATTGGATCAGAAAAGGAGCTCAGGGGATTGAGCTCTGGCAGGTGTAGCAGTGATGGCTGTGAAATTGCACAGTGTCTGTTGGTGCATTTGTCCTGCCAGATGCCCTGGGCTATGCATCCCTGTCCTTGGCATCATTTTAATGACTTCTCTCACAAGTAAAACAGCCTCAAACCTGCCAGAATTGGATTCAGGCTACTGTGATTTTTCCTGGCATGTGACCAAGGTTTAGGGTGCATGCTGTGTTGATTTCTCCTTCAAGAAGAGCCAGGACAGGCAGCAGGTGTAGATTAGCTGGACAGGGCTGCCACAAATGCTCTGAGAGCCAATCCAAGGGGACTGGGCTCTGTGACAAGTATAGGAGTAGCAGCAGCTCTGAACAAGTTATGGAAGGAAATGTCAGTGAGCTTGAGCTCTGTCCAGATAACAGACCTCCTGCTGGGGACCACCAATAACCTCGTCATCCACCTGCTCTTGCCTCTCAGTCTTCATTTTTATCTCATTAGAGGGGAAATGGGTCATAATTGTTCCCATGTTATGTCATTGCCAAATTCTGAAATGGCTATGAATGAGGCAAGCGGGGTTATTTTTCCCTTTAAATCCTGTTTTCTATCCATAGGAGCTGCTTGTGCTTCTTCTGTTCTTGTAAAAACACCCACGGGTTTCTCCAGGAGTGTCTGTGTCCCTTCTTGTTAAGAGAGATAGATAGAGCTAAGAGCTGGGCCCTCCACTGCCTTCAGAAACAGGTTGGATCAAATGGGTATCGAACATAATTTTCTTCCCCAAGCTTTGGGGCAACTCGTCCGACTTTCTCTTATTCATTAGATGTAGCTACAGTAGAACAGTTGAGCTGTATGCTGCAGAGAGGCAAACTAGGCCTTCAGCACAGCTCAGAAAGGTCAAATTAATTCAATAAAACTGCATTTGGGTGTTAAACACTTTTGTGGCAGTTCAGCCAGTGCTCTTCCTTTAAGAGTTCTGGTGATGGTGGGGGACTGGCTGTAACATTTGACTGCTCTGCTTCCAGGGATCACAAGCCCCAGGTGTAGTCAGTGGCATCCCACAGCCACAGAATATACCTTGCTGAGGCTGGTTGTCTTGTTATTTCAAGCGTCACTCACAACCCATCCATCCTGCTGCATAGATCCGAAATGCCACTTTGTGCTCTACAACCCCAGATTCTGTCCACTGCTTGAAGTGGGAGTGCTGGCTGACATGCATTGACAGGCTCCAGCTGGTTCCAGTCAGGTGATGCCTATGAAATTTGCTGCAGTTGGAGACCTCTTCCTACTCTTCTCTCATCTTTCCATGACAGATAAAGGGCAAAGCACTGCATCTGCCAGTGCTAGGGTGGGGGGAAGGTGTGGCCTGGGGCTAGCCTGTCCCTTTTGCTTATGGGAATTGGGTGCAGTGAGAGGGTGAGTGTCCATATTGTGTCCACAGAGCACATGTTCAAGCCCAGTGGGATCAGACATGGAGGCAGGCAAATGCATTCTGGAATGCTGAAGGCTACCTTGGTCAGTGGAACAGCTGTCAGTCCCAGGGCAGATTGGCTGTGGTTATAAGCTGTGCCCCAAGGAAAGTGTATAAAGGGAAGTTTAAATTTAGAGTGTCCAGCTGGCTCCAAATGTGGGAGGCCCATGTACACAAGTTTCATAATGGTACACTCCTGTTTCAGTCACTCTTGATGTCCAGGGAGAAGAGCTACGCCTCAGACTTTTAATGATGACTCATGAGTGTAGTGCAGCCTGGACATCTTTCTCCTCTTCCCAAACATGAGGCTTTTGCATTGTGCTGCACAGAAAATAGGAAATAAATCTTTCCAGCATGATGTCAACAGTCTGAAGACTTGGTTTCTTCTATGCTGTCCTCCTCTTTAACGCCTCCCCAGAAGAGCTGTCCATTCCTCAGCCCCTCCTGACCACAGCTGGCATCTCTTGGGTGCCACTTCCTTGTGGCATCCCACACCAACTCCCATGTGCTCTGGGATGTCTTTTGCTGGTTGCTTCCCATTCAGCTGAGCAAGCCCAGCTGCACCCTCCCAAGCATCCAGAACCCTGCCTCAGAGAGGGGCACTCATGCAGGATAAGACCCTTTGCACTGCATGCTTCGTTTATCTGTAAGTGGAGATACAGCCTTTTAAAGCAGCCACCTCCATGGTGTCACACCAAGGAGCAAGGTGCCAGTGACAGTTCATGCTGGCATTTGCCCTGTAAGGAATGCCCAAGGCAAAAAATGCCTTTTTTTTTCTTTTTTTTTTTTTTTTTAAGGGAAATGATGACCCAGGGCAGCAATGACTGCAGGGGCGCAGTAGGGAAGTCACCATGGCATATGCCAGATGGTGGCCCTTTAGGGGTACTGATTGGTGGTACAGCATGTTTTTTTTTTTTTTTTTTTTTTTTTTTCCCTGCCCTCCCCTCTTGCAGAAACTAAAGACTGCAGGAGTTCCAGATAACCTTCCCCCTCTTCTCCCTCCTCTGCCACTTCTGTGGCTCAGCCAGCACAGGCTGCCTGGGAGAAGTTAGTAATAGCCAGTTCCCAGCAGGCAGGCTTCCTGCGTGCAGTTTTGCATGAGTTAGAGCATTGTTTCTCCTGATGCAGTGCAAGCCTTTTCTGGAAAGGTTTTGTCTTTGCTAGGAGAGAGAGGAGTATAGTGTGAGAGGAAAAACTCTGATTGCCTTTGCTTGGCAGCCCCATAGTAAGTATTCCCTATGTTTCTACACCTCTGTGTGGAAATGCTCACCTGTGTCTTTCCGAGAGAAGCAGTACCTTTTTGGAAGGGGCAAATGGGACAGAAGAAGTCAGGCTCCTGTGTAATAGGTGATGTTTTACAAGTGCTGCTGGCCATCAGTAGTCTCTGGAGGATCCAGGACATGGGTGTTGGTACTGGGAGAAGCTGGACAGAGCTAATTACTCAGAGGAGAAAGGATGGGCAGGAGCCAAGCAGATGGCAAAAGGATGAGGAGGAGGTGGGCAGGCAACAAGGACTAGCTGCAGGAAAGGGGGATAATTCCCAGAGCTGGGAGGGAAAACCAGTGCTGATTTTGGTTACCTGGTATGGCAATGCCTTATCTTCTTCTCCAGCAGGCATTGCTCAGAGGTGCACTGCTATCAAGCACCACTTTTCCCAGCCAGTACACTTGCTCAGTGTCCCCTTCAACTTGGTAAAGATGATCCACGAGGATAAATGGTGTCTGCTCTGTAAGTGTTTAGCATGGCCCATTCTCCCCTGTCAAGGTCTGTGGCTCATGCTCTCCCTTTCACGTGGAAAATACATCAATGAGAAACTAGTTTGCAGAGGGGGGAGCTGAGGAGGCAGGATCCCACCAGGGCCCAGTCATCAACAATCTTCACCCTCATTTTTACTTGCAGGCCACTATGGTTGGCCCAGGAGAGTGTGAACACCAACACACAAGGGTTTTTAAGCTTGTTGAATGTAACCTGCTCTTAGTCACCTTTCATAGGCAGATCACAGCTCCCCTTGCCTCTCCAGGGGTGAGTAGAAACCAGATTGAAAACCTGTGTTCAAGTGTCACTGGAAAAAATCCATCAGGAGATGTGTCAGAACCTGATGACAGAAGCCACATGCTAAACAATTATGGCAGAACCTATCTGCATGGAAACTCCTTGGCACTTAGAAATTGGATCATTTCTGTCCATCCAAGTTACTTTAAATTTAAACTCTAGAAGGAAATAGAGAACAAAGAGTGTATCACAGTGTTTCTGCATAAAACCAGACTGCACCCATATCCTGAAGGTCATATGGCTGAAGCCATCTGAGTATGTTTCATATGACAGTGGGAAGTTTATAGCACAACTGCAAAACTGCTAGTTTCTAACAGCCTTGCTAGAGTATCACTTTCTATTAACAAGTACTCACTCCTAAAGCTGGGATTACTCCTACTGTGGGTCCACCTGGCACAGCCAGCTGTACTCATGGCTGTTTTTAGGTGTCCCTTCACTTCCTCCTGTAGTGGAAGGCTTGTCTGTTGTAACATTCACTCTTCGTTTCTTGGGTTTGGTGGAAACAGACTTGTGAAGGATCATGGCTGGATTCCTGGGCATGACTGCAGCTATTCTCTGAGGGTGCATTGTGACAGCAGTCAGCTTTTCAGAGGAAAGCCTCACTCAGCATATTACAGGTCTGCTGTTCCTGATGCCAGGTAATGCATTGTTCTAGCATGCTATTTACAGATAAAGGCTTCACTAGGTTTCACTTGGGTAGGCAGCATGCAGTGCCACTAAGTGGAGCATGCCTTCCCTTCTGATCTCCAGTTACTGTGCCTTGCATGAAGTGAGTTGCTTACTCACACAAGTGGAATAACCAGTAATTAGAAAAAAACCCCAAACCTGTGAAAAATGCTTTAGGCCTCCTACAGCAGCAGGAAAGGACCACGGGGCTTAAACAACTGCTCCCTCTTCTGTATGTATGAAGCGATCTCTCTCCTCCAGAACAGAACTGAACAGTCCCGTGGTGCAGTTTGCAGTCCTTGATGGTGGACTAAATATTTCTTTTAACACTGAAGTAGGAAAAGGGGATACTTAAAAAAACCAACCAACCAACCAACCAACCAAAAAACCAACTTAGTTATAAAATGATTGTTTAGAGATGGAGGAAGTTTAAAAGCTGCAAACATGAAGCCAGCATGAGTTTGAACCATCCAAACTCATGAGGCTAAGCACAACAACTTCTCTTGTGCCAGAGGAAATATTTTGATTTGAGCAGCTGTAATGCACAGCACAGCTATGTTTCTTAATACATTTGGAAGACACAGGCCTGCGGAAAGGCTTGCTGAGCACAGCCAATGTAACTGCTTAATGAAAAACACAGCCTAATGAAAAACACTTGGGGAAAAATAACCCAACAGAAAACCTAGGCTGGAATAAGGGTGCTGGCAAAAAGCAGGGGAATGATTTCGCCTGAACGGCTCCTCTGCAGAGGTATGTGGAGGGCCACCCGTGGAGGTGTTTAATAATCTCCAGATCAGATTACACACAGCACACACAAAACACTTTCCCCTGGCTGTTCTGAGGTGTTGCAGCAGGCTCTGCTCTCACAGAGGGGATTTGGCATCACAACACCAGTTTGCATGATATAATTGTATCCCATGGGTCAGATCTGATCACGAATGGAGGCTTTGACTACATTGCTTCTGTTTGAAGGGCAGACATCACTGAAATCACAGAGGAAACTCTCTTATTCTTAAAAGTAGCAACCAAGAAGTTTGGTGGATGCAATTCAGAACCACAGAACTAGGGCCTTGCATGACTAGGTAATACATGGAAACTTTATGAATGCTAGTAATTATTACCTGTGTGCTACCCAAGATAACTTATACTAATAAAGCTGGGTGCAAGTTATTTGATTAGTAAGGCCTAACATTTATTTTGTTTGTCACTCCATGCTACATCGCAAAATAACAACATGATTACTTAATTTACAGGGGTATTTTGCACCTATGTCTCTGTGCACTTATGCAGCCAGCATAACATATGACCTAAACCACATTCCCACATTCATCTATAATCTTCTCAATTATGTAGAACATGGATACAGCTGCTGTCTATTTTCTGCTTGGTAGTCTGGGATTTACAGTAGCAGCTGGGTCTCTTTGCACAGCTTACCCATTTGTTAGCAGCGGCAACATTATGCAGTTGAAGTCCACCAGAGACTCCTCTGTATGACTGCCCACCTGTCACCAACATCCTTCAATTACTTATTCAAAGAAGCAGAAGTGAAGGGAAAACTAAAGTCAGGATTCCAGGCACAAAAGTCTGACTCTTCAAAATCTGACTGTCTTGTTTTACTGGTTCAACAAGCTGTTCTTCCATGCTTCCAAACAGAGAGATTTGAAAAGGAGACAGCTCTCAGAGAATGGAGATGGCTCAGGATCAGATGCTTCAGTTCAGCATGCCAAGTCCATGCAGAGGAAGATATCTGCACTGGAAGGTAAAAGGGGGGGGAAAGTTTCTGTAAGAGTTCAGGGTTATTTCTGTTTTTCAAGGATCTGTTCATAAACAAATTAAGGAATATTCACTGTTGTCAAATGAATCCTAGTCAGAATTATACCCCTCTCCCCAGGGCATCACCTGTAGTGTTTTAATTCAGAACCTTCTGCACTTGACCCTAAAGGAAGGCTTTGGTGCCCCTCTCCTCCCAAAATGCCAGACAGACATTTCCTCTTTTAAATCAGCATGTACCTGTTCCTCTTTGTGTATCCTTTGTACATGAAGTTCCTGGGTAATTTGTAAATAACCAAGATTTCCAGTCTGAGCATCTAAGCTGCACTGTGAAGAGGATTAAATTACTACTGTACATTCCTGGATGTTCTCTTGGTAATGAGGCATTTGTCAGGCTACAGTATCTATAATAAAATACCTGCGTCTGTCAAAAGCATTTGTGTCAACTGCAATTTCACAGCTTGGTAACAGTGTCTCCTGCAAATCAGAGAAAGTTCATAAACAAGGAGGGTTGTAACCTGGACAGTGCTTGCACCAAGCATCCTATGGGGCAGTGCAGCATGGTGGAGTTAGAGCCCCAAAGAACCTCTCCTGCTTGGGCCAAGAAGCTGGCCATGGCAACAGAGGAATGGGAAGATGCTAGAAGGGGAGCAGCTTTGCTTTTCTGGTGCTTAATGGCAGGGTCATATGAGTTAACAGATGAGAGCACCATGCTGATCTGTCAGACAGCACTCAAACTGACAGAGTCATTTCCCACAATTAAGAGACTTCAGTGCTATGTTGATGCATCTGTCACAACTCACTCAAAGCTGCAGTACTGTGCCATCACCTAAAAGCCAGTGTTGCCCTTGAAGCATGGCATCCATACATTCATTGCCATAGAAGTGTTTCACACCTGCTGGGCACAGGAAAGAGTTGGCCAGGCCCCTGGAAAGGTCCCCCAGGCTGCCTTGCAGAGGGCACAGGCTCTGTCAGGAATGGAGCAGACACTGCTGATGGAGCAGAGCCATCAGAGAAGCCAATTCTGCAGTGAGGGTGGATAGTGCAAGATGAACACAAAAGGGAATGGTGGGAGAAAAGGTTGTGAGCATAGGGCTGGGAAGAGAAGAAGGGACATGTGAAAGAAAGGTTGAAGACCAAAGGGGTGTGACAGAAAGAAGGGGAGGTGAGAAGCAAGGGTGGTGGAACAGAGAAGTATTGCCTTACTGCAGTAACCATCAATTAAATGACAGCAGAAAAAAGTGCCAAATTAGGCTAAGAAACACAATCATACAGAGTACACTAAAACCCAACAGATCAATTTATTGATCTGTGAACAGTCAAGGCACCGGGAAGCAATGTCAGGAGAAATCAGCATCAGCACTAAGCACAGCTTTGGGGCCAGCCTGCATTTCTGTGCTTGGTTTCACTGCTGAGCACAGAGCTGTATCTCTCAGCAAACAGTTAGGTCCTGTTGAAGTCAACTCATACCTGTTTACATGATTGTCTTGTCATACTGTATTGGGAAAAATGGTCTGGTTTAGTCCTGCACCAGGCAAAGGTAAAGGCAAACCCATCCACAGGATTGCTTTTGCCCAAGGACCTGGGTGCACCTGGTGGGTGATGCAGGACAATGGAGAGGTCTGATGTGTACCACAGGGGGACTTGATTCTGGGTGAGAACATGCCATGAATTATGCTGTGCCTTTGTAAATTGTTATTTTGCTATTGCTAACTGCTAAATGGCAGCTGGACATGATGCAGATGGTATAGAATAAAGGGGTGGATTATGTCCTGGTTCAACTAGGATATGGTTAAGTTTCCCCAGAAGAGAGAGAGGGGGAAGGGATCTCCAGCTGGGTTATTCATACCATGCTGACGTCAGGTCCGGTGTGGGAACTTTTTACTTTTTCCTTGGTGGTCTTGGTGGCGGGGAGCTCCATTTGCGGTATTTCTCTGTATATCTTTTGTCTTGTTCACTGTTATTGCTGTTTATTGTTGTTATCATTGCCACTGTTGTTGTTCAGATTGTTTATCACATTGTTGTATTAAATTTCTTTTTATTTTAACCCGGGGTTTGTGCCTCACTGCCAGCCCGACCGGCTGAGGGTGGGGGAGGGGCAACAGCAACGTGCTCTCCAGTCCCGGCAGGGCTTAAACCAGCACACATACACAGATCAAGAGAGAAATACTCTCTCCACTTGGTTTATACAACTAATATAACACCAAGAGTTTAACTTGGCTCCATCTCAGATGAAGAGCACATGTAGCCATGCGTGTCAGTAAACTGGAGAGGTGGCTACCATAATGAATGACAGACCTTCTGCCCAGAGGGCCTCAGTCAACTTGAGAAGTAGCATCCTGTGGTGTTCAAGAAAGAGATAGGCAGAGTTCTCTGTGTGGGGTGACACAGACCAATACATTCAGCCAGGCTGGGAGATTCAAGCTGGGCATCAACCCTGCTGAGAAGGGCTTGGGGTTACAGCAGACAAGGGACTGACCACTAGCCAGAAGCATGTTCCAACTGCAGATAAGACAAATGGGCTACGCTAGGAGCCATGTGGCTAGAAGAACCAGAAGAGTGATTTTTATCCCCTCTGTTCAGGGTTGGTAAGGCCTCACCAGGGTTTGTGTCCAGTATTAGGTCCTCCAGTTCAGGAAGGATGTGGGGAAATGAGAGAGGGGCCAGCAGAGTCTGCAAGAATGGTTAGGGGCCTGGAGAACAGTGCCTGTGAGGGGAGGGAGCTGGGCTTGGGTAGTCTGGTGAAAAAGAGGCAGAGGGGGCATCTACCAGGAGCCTGTGACCGCTTGAAGAGCAGTTACAGACATGATAGAGCCAAACTTCTGCAGTGTGAGGCAATGCAGCGAGTGACAGCAGCCACAGATTGCAGCTTGGGAGGCTCACACATAAGGAAAGTTTCTCCCCCAAGGAGGGTGGTGTGTCTTGGGACATGTACTCAGAGAGTCAGGGATCTCCATCCTTGGAGGTTTCTTGCACAGTGCAAGAAAGCTACTGATTCCCAGCAGTACCGATCTTCCTGTATTTGTATATGAAAGCCCCAGCTGCTGTGATCTAGCATTGACGATAGGTCTGCCTAACAGGGAGGCTGGAGGCCACCAGAGGCACCTTCCCACACATTTGGCAACTGTATTGAAAAGACACCTTTGTATAAAGTTGGGGGAGCTCCACAAGCAGTTCTCATCAACAGTAAGTTTTAGTCTTTTGAAATAAAATTAGCCTTAAGATTAAAGTCTCTTTCCTTACCCAGCCAAAGCACCTTGTCAGAATCAAGAAGAAAAAACAAAGGAAAGCAAAAAACCCCAGACACACTAATAGTATCTCTGTACTAAACAGCAGACGAACACAATGCATGAGTCCATCCTATCTTGCCAAGTTGCAAATGCTTGTCCAAAAAAAAAAAAAAAGCATTGGAAAGTAGTATAATCTGCAGTAATTCTCTATAAAAATACTTCATTATCATCTCAGCAAGGGAAAGCCTTGAATTAGACTATCCTCCTCCCTACCAACCCCTTTTGCACAGACTATAAGAACTGCTAAGGCTACTCTCTTTTCAGGAGAAATTTTGCATATGCTTCTTTGCAGATAGAAGTCACTTTTAATTGTTCATCCACTTGGCAAGTCTTTCCATCTTCCACATTGTGCCCTTGGAGTAACATTACCAAGTAAGGGAAAGCATTACTTTTGATAGAAATAAATGTCTTCACCATAAAATGCTAAAGCATACCCATTAGACACTGTAAACACTGCAAAGAATTAACAGAAAATAGATTATTTTCCACTCTGAGAGTTCTGAATAGCGACATTTCAAATTCATCAGAAACTAGCTTTAGAGTAAGCAAGGCACATGATAAAGCATACACCCAGTCCTCAAAAACATCTGGAGACTTCTTCAGACAAGATGTGAATCCTAAAAACATTGCTGAAGGAGAAAATTCATTTACATTTAATATTACTACGTTTGATTTTGCAGTTCTGCAAATGAAGTCCTTCTCTCCCAGAGAAACTCCTCCCAATACTGAGAGGCTTTGCCTAGGCAAGGATTTGAGGACTCTCATCTCATTGCAATGCTTTACAGTAAAAACATTTGAAACACTATCAGGCATCTTCCACCTCTCCTAAAAAACAAAGAGAGAAAAGCAGCACCTTGAGACATCCACAGAAAATGTGGTAAGATAACAAATGGCACAGGGCTTGGATCAGCAGGCTTCTATCAGATCACTGCCGTTCTGCATTTCAAATGTATCAAGATTCAAGGTCATTTTGCCACAGTGCAAGAAATCTGCTGATTCCCAGCAGTAGATATCTTCCTGCATTTGTATATGAAAGCATCTGTCTTTCCAAGACTAACCCCATAGATGCCATCTGGCACCAGACCCCCAAACCATGTCTATCAGCTGCTGAGAAAGGATTCTTCAACACCATTCACCAAGGAAGAAGAATCTTCATCAATATTCAGGGCTTTTTTTTTCACTTGATCCATTGGAAATGGCATTAAGAGAGTAATTTTATACAGACAATGTCATCCATGTGCTTATGGAGAACTTGGCTCAGCAGCAATACAATAGTCCCTCCAACACAAAATGTTGTGTCATTTGCAGGAAAAATAAAGGTTAGGTGTTCATCCTGCGTGTCATTCTTTTGTCTGTGCAGAACTCAACACTGCTGACACTTCAGATGTCAGTTGCATTCAGTAAAACACCTAAGCACATTAAGGGCCATGGGTCAACTCAGTAAGCTAAGTCTCCAAATGGAATTTAAATTCCCTATCTTCATAACTCTTCCTAGATGGGAGAACTGAGGCCTGTCCTGACTGCGCTGGGCTGAGCAACAACACCCATTGAAGAGCAACCTTACAGAAAGAGCGTTTCAGCCATGGAATGAAATAAAGGGGCAGATGGTTTGAACTGCCCCATAAAAGCAGCC